TAATCTTATGTGGTCACTCTGAGAAGCACCCAAGGACAAAATGCTTATACACAAACAGATAAACATATCGTTACACCTAGACAAACCTGGAAAGCCAAATGACACAATATAAATGAGAAGTGTGTAGGAAATATTTTTTCTTTATATCAAAGTTCTATAAATCATATTTGACGATGCTGTAGGTATTATCTAATTGACATGTGTTTGTATTTGCAGAGTGAGTCGTTGGCTCACTTCGTGTCGATGCGCGAGGACGCGAGCATCCAGCACGGACAGCACGTGGTGGCGGGCGTGCCGGCCAGGAACTCCTCCACCAACACACTGCTCGCTGTGGCCAGGTATGTACTAGTTTAACTTAGGTCTACTGCTTCATTGGTACTTTATTACCTTCGGATACTGACGCGGCATCGCCTAGTCTCGGCGAGGCGATGCAGTGACGATCCCTTTTCGTGTTCATAGTTGTGCCTTAATATGGTTGATGACAGGGTATGGAAAATTAAAAATCTAATTAGTCCGTCAGTTAGGTAATGAAAAATTATTAGACATGTTTTATTTTGTTTTATATGAAAACTATACTACTTCGATAAAACGAATCAAAGGAGTGGGAGGTAGCTACATCATTTTAGAGTATAAATCGTACTCAAAAGTGACGTCATGCGACATTTCAAATCTTTGAAATTATTCGTTTCCGTAAGAAAATAAAAAATACGTGTCTAATATTTTTAAATAATCTACCAGACGGACATTAAAAATTAAACTTAGTCTTCTATTCTATTCGTTTGCTCGTGTGAGAAAATAATTTAAATGTGATTGTTTTTTTTCCCAAATACCAAGGGCATCACTGCGATGTCTAATCATCTCTTTAATCTCTATCCTATCTTCTGCAGGTGGAAGACCGGCCACACAGGTTACGTGGCGCTGTTCAACCCAACAGAGGACGAACAGCGCGCCAACCTGACTGCAGTGTCGTCTATACCAGACTCTCTTACTCCCCACTTCATGTCACATGCTGTCAAGCACTACACAAAGTAAGTAACGAGTGATATTGTTTTGAAAATCTAGTAATTATAAGTTGTCTAATTTCTACATGTAGTTGTTACGTTTATGTTCAGCTTTTCAGCATTTTCAGCCTGTAATAAGGGTATTAAAGTGGGAAACGCGATAATACTATGGTTGACTGTAAGAGAATGCCTTAAGGTATTAAGTCTGCCATTCACTGATAAGTTTCGTCAAGAAGAAATAAATAAAAAATACAATAAATAAATAAATATTAACGGATTGTTTCCATTCCCATTGTCATGGCCGTCTTTGACGGTTTTTAAAGCTCTAAAAATGTGATAATGGACATGATTTTACATACACATATCATTTCCATTTGTTTTCAAATCAAATCAAATCAATTTAATGCATCTATAGTGTGTACAGTTGGTTTACAATTTTTGGCAAAATATGTTCCAACTGTAGGCCCTTTTGGGCACCGCGAAAGTACTTACTCTACTTACAAAATAATAAGAATCATTAATATTTTTTTGAGTGTGCAATCAAACAAAAGTTAAGATAAGTTTTACACACGAAATCTACCTTAACAGAAAGAATAATTTTTGTCTTGTTTCAGTTATTCTCTGCACAACGCAGAACCGGCGGACAACTTGTTGGTGCCGCCCAAATCCTCGGTGGTGTTCTCCTACGTGCCTCTGACATCGGCAGAGAATTAAACGTAGAACACAATGAAATAAAACAAAATGTTCACCAAAATATTTATCACGCTTCCCCGGTGTACAAGAGGGGCAATTAATTTTGCATTTACGTTTTAAAAGACAGTAGCAAAATATAGAATTTTATGCATACCTATCTTGTCGTTTCATTCATTATAAATACCTACGGTGGAGATCATTTCGGAGTGTGCACTGGGACCCCATGGCCCAAGTGTTTCGACCCCAAACGGCTAAAAACAGTAGTTACCCACTAGATTTGAATATTTACGCCGTTTGAGGGCCTCTGCCGCGGAAGCGGCTGCACCAACGCATGCAGCGGTACTTAGAAGATGTGATGGCGCAAGGGTGTCTACACACACACACTACACACCAAAAGCTTACCCATCTTCCAAGGCAGCAACAACATACCACCTGGTCTCTTGCCGTCATCACGCACCAAACCATTAGGTTCTAATACGGCTGGTACACTGGCTGAGGCAAGAGCTCGACGAATGCATCGCGAGCTATGCGACGTAGAAACACAAGGAGTACCTAAACGTAAGCATACAGCTAGGCGGAACATAATGTCATCCAACATACCGTACCGTACCTATGAAGGGTGACGGGACTGCCTGAAGCCACAAATCTGACTCCCATTCTCTCACAGCCAATAAGCGAGCTCGCCCTGCAGTATTAGAAGACGAATTGATTAAAGACTCACGAATAACACTGCTCAGCGGCACGTCCCACTGTCTCTGAGAAGATGGGTGAACAGGTAAATCCGTAAGCGGGCAAGCCATTTTCCAAGCTTCCACTGCATCAGTCGAACACAGCACCTCAAAACTGGTCAGTGACGAAGAAAGAATTTTCCTGACTAATTCAGAGGTACTGTGGACCGATGACAGAAAAGCTGGTAAACTAATACTTGAAATTTTGCGGACGAGACGAGACGAATTTAGCTCTCCCATGCGAATGGGAAGAGTAGCTTGTTGCCAAGCTCGGTCATCCAAAGCCAAAATCTGAATTATTTATGAATTAAGTACAATTTTATTTCATAAAACCTTTCTTAATATTCTTTCCGATATCTGGCTGATCGGGTGTGAGAATTAAGGGACCACATGTTAAGGGTCGTAATGTTTTGATATATTTATTTACAAATTCCGAGATTTTTCTGAAACTGCCGACCAACAGTACGACCAAAAAATGTTACGTATCGTTAGAACTAGGTACCCATTTGAAGCAAGGGTTAATACGACGTAAAAGTTGTAGGATCCAAGACAAAGAAGTTATACTAGTTCAAAATTTGAACTTCAAATATTCATCAATTTCATACATTTATTGCTGTCTAGAGGTGCTAGGAAACGCAAGATAATGATCGATATTGCTAGATTAAAGTTTCGAAGCCTCTCCTCCTTGGGAAAGTAGGAAGGAGTGCTAGACCGTTACTGACTAAAAAGCACCTCGTCCCAACTCCGCGGACGTCGTACCATCGTATCGGGGCCTCGGTACCTATACGAGCAAATAAATATTTTGATTTCATTTAGTATATCTTCAACCTCGGACAGTTGTAGCCTCCTAATAACCATTTAATGTTACGATTTCATCTTCTGGACTGGTAAATGTATGTTCTTTCTAATACCGTACGAAAGCAAAACCTATAAACCATACGATAGTCATATTGTCCGTTATAATCGAGAAGAACTAGTCATCTAACTGTCAATTTCAGTAACCTATCTCAATCCAAAATCTGGGGATCAAGATCGATCTTTGACAGAAACTCCAATGAAATTAGCAGTAAGATTGTTAGATCAGCTGCAATCTACTCATTTAGTATCCTTTGTTTACTCTCAATGCGGCAAGAGTACGTCAGAATGGCTGGTTGTCTGTGGCGTTGGTCTTTATGAGTTGATTCGAAAATTTCGAATTGCCATTCACACTGTATTTACCATATTATGAGATATCCCTGTGGAAGAAGTTTGGGTGAAGATCGGACAAGATATTTTTGCAATACCTGGCCGTATTTAACCTAGTTATATTGAAACAAAAACATAACATTACGCCTTTTATCCCCAATAGGTATGCAGAGATGCACATATTACGGCACTTAAGCGCAGGCCACACCGCCAGCTAGCGGGCGGGCGGGCTAGGCGGGTGGGCATAGCGAACCAAGGAAACTATAGGTACAAACTATTCGAAATATTGGCGAGCTAAACTATGGGGTTCACACCGAAAACTACGGACAGACGAGAATTGAACAGTAATATCTTTTTTTTTACATTTGTAGTTAAATCATCATCAGAACTTTCGTCGATATATAACATATTCATCGTTCACTAACTAATCACTACACTACTATTCGAAAGACGAGCGTCGACTAGTCTACTCGGAACGGGGAGGACGGGCGAACGAACCGGGCGCGCCAACGAGGTGAACGAGTAGCTTCGCTGGAATCGTCGGATATTTCGTTAGCTTAGCTCGTTAGGTTAGTTGGTAGCTCGCGATGTGAACCGAAGTATGTAAAGAGGTGAAACTTTGTTTGCCTGCGCTTTAATGCCACTGTTCAATGTAACACCCACTTTTCACTATTTATTTTATGAATCCCATGTACCTAATAGGAGGTGAGCCTATTGCCATATACCGGGCACGTTTCTAGACTTCGTGCTGCTAGGCTGCTACTTTTTTTTTTTTAAAAACCCAGTAATACTTAGCCGTCTTAGTAGGAGTTGGAACGAAGAACTTTCTAGTCAGTAATGATCTGGTACTCCCTCCTACTTCCCCCAGGATGAGTGAGTCATTCTAACAGTAGTCATCAGGAAGAGTCATTCTAACAAAATAAAACGACTACTTTTCGCATTATCATCACAGTTGCCTCAAGATTTAATTTTCTAGCAATATCGATCATTATTTTGCGTTTCATTTCACCTTTACAAAGCAATAAATGTATGAAAATGGTGAATCTTCGAACTTAGTAACTTCATCTTGGACCCTACTAACTATTATGCCATATTAATTTTTGCCCCAAATGGCTAGTTCTAACAATACATACTATTTATTTTCGATGGATGGCACTATTAGACAAGACCCAAAGAGATGATCTCCTTTATTTAATTTTTAGCATTGTACATATGCTCAATCTACGTACATTTAATACGTACGTACGAATTTGAATATTGGTGAAGTGATATTAGAAAGAGTAGAGCGTTGGTGTTATATGACATTTGATAGAAGGTGGAAAAGAAAATTGAAGAGATTGGGGGGGGGGGGGGGATAAGGCCAGGAAGTACAAAAATAATACGCAAATTTTTACAAAATAATAAAGTACATTTTAATATTCCAATAACATCTGCATTGTTAACAGTTTAAAAAGCATAGTTTTTGTACAAACATCAATTGACTTTATAAATCTTTCCTTGTAATTACAACTTGTTTACTATCTAAGGTAAGGTCCCGACAGTCGAATATGGCAATGTACTAAGTACAATATTGGTCTTCAAGTACAAAATGACAATTTGTATTAACCTCACTTATAGTCCGTCTTAGATCCACTTAAATATTACATAAATTGAATCAATAATATATGAAAAATATTTTTCTTACAACGTCAGAATAAATGAGGCATTATAAGAAAATTAATGAAATGAATAACAGCAGAGTATCCTAGGTAAGTCTTAAGTCTTGATAACTAGTTGGATTAGTACTGAACTAAGAGTGGTGTTAAAATAACGGGCACTGCAAGAGTTTGAAAGCAAGGAACTCGTCTTGTAGTTTCCTACATCATGTCAGGTACGTCTGTACCACACTTGTCGGCTACGGGGAACAGAACAAACGCGGTCGTGCACATAACAAATGGATGCCCAAAGCAGATAGTAGATCATGGACGCTAAACACATACGTAGTAGAAAGTCTGGCAGAGAGTACGAATGCCTGTCATATTTTAAATTAATGTCATATTCACCTGTATAAGGAGGCTCCAGCTCCATCTCAGTATCCATTATTCGCGTTTGGACTTATAATATCATAGAACGTCTTCACGAGGTAAAACAGTGTGCAAGTGAAGACTATCTGCATCAAGGCGTCAACCAACCGATTTGAAGAGACGTCCTTACTGCAGTCGATGTCGTTGTCTAACATAATGTGGATGTAGGGACGACGTATCAGAGAGCGGGATCTCATCAACGACTAATTTGTTTTACTCTTAAAATAAAGTAGGTAGGTACAGCCAAAGATCACACTTAGTGACGACGTAGGACGATACTCGAGTGGTGACAAGCTGAGTGAATCAAAATACTACCAACTGAATATTTTCAAACGTATCGGTCCTCCGTTCGGTTATTGTCGGGACCACTCGGGTAAGTCCGTAGCAGTTCGTGTCAGGTCGCCAGTAGGTTACCGACGCTTGGCGGCGGGCTTGGGTTTGTTGAACTGGTAGTTGGCACACTTGGGGATGTGCCTCTCGGCCGCCTGCTGGTTGAAGCGTCGCCCGCAGTGTGGGCACGCCACGTAGTCGGGGTTCTCTGACGGAGGAGGTGGCGGAAGGTCGCTGAGTTTACCTGGAATTGTAAAAAATATATTATAACCTATTCATCGCACATATCAACAGCCTATAAGTGGCCACTGCTGACCAAAGGTCTCTTCTCACACGGAAGATGTTTAAGAATTAATCACCACGCTTGCTCAATGCGAGTTGAGGTTTTTTTATATCATTCATCATCAGCCTAAACATATTAAACTAAGACTAAGAGTAAGGTCTGGTTTCGCTGTTAAGTCACCGAAAGTTTAGATAATATGGCTGATCATCCCACAGTTGCTGGTCTGGGTTTTATTTTATGCAATAATCTCTTCTTTCCTCTGTCGTAAGCTAGCACTTACCCCCCGCACTGAGATGAGCCTGCACTTGTTTAGCAGCTCGTATCGCCTGTATGAACTCCTCGTGCTTCTGTCGCCAGTTATTGTTCAGATTCTTGTTCACCTTCGTCGAGGATGCAGGGTTCGCTGGACCCTTGCGTAGCTTGTTGATGAAGGGTTCAGCTTCAGTGCCCTGGAAATATAAGAACCAGTTAGGTTACGGTTCGAAAAGGTCAAGTCAAAAGGTAGAGATTTTTCATTTTCGAAACCAGTAGGTACCTAACTAATAATAGGGATGCCGTGAATGACAGTAAGCTCAGGTAATGTAATCCTATGATTTTAAACCAGTCATTGTCAGATAACAGAATATAAAAGGCGTCATCTTTCGATGCTATGCAAACTATTTTAGAGTAGCTCAGAATAAGTGAGACAAGTGAAGGTACAACACATAGAATGAAAAATTTAAGCGCGCATACGTTAGGATCACTAACTTAGATCTAGAGTTTGCGAATGAGCAAAATAGAATTTGAGTCAAGATTGATGTTGAAAAGTGAATAAGTAGGTATGGTAATGAAACCCCGAAATATAGGAGGTTACACTGGAAATGAAGACGAAACCGCCAATGGGGCATTGAAGACGTAAACGTATGAAGTATTCAAAATGAATGAAAAGTTGACCACGAAACAAATATATTTATATCAAAGAGTAGCTTGCCTTATATCCCTCTGCTTCCGTCCCCTATAGTAGAAGCAGCAAAATGATAGCATAAACCAACGGTTAGTTACAAAAATCAGTCATAGTTTGAAAAGAAGAGGAAGAAAGAAGAAAAATGTCACTTGGGAGTACCCAATAGATATCTGGGTGACTGATGACATTATATAGTCACCGTACCTACATTACAAAAAGATCACCAATGTGTTGCCGATCATCTAAGTTGACGCCTATTTAGAAGATCCCCATACTACTTGTAGGGAAAACCCGCTGTATTAGATAATTAATGTATGTAATTAAACAAAGATACAATGACCATAGGTCTTCTTCAGTCTTCTTCATAATCTTATTTCTGGTCAAATCCAAGCGGTCATCGGTGACCGTTATCCACTTACACCATTATAGATAGACCTTATTTCCTATGTTTATAGACTACTTTTGTATGAACAAAAGTTGCGGATTTTTCATAATAGAAGAAGTTAAAATAATATCAAATTGAAGGCACAATAAGGAAAAATAAGGCAATAGGGACTTACAGCAAGTCTATGCTTGAGAGCGTCGAAAGGCTTTCGCTTCTTGGCGTGTGCTTTGCGACAGATCTCTTGGTGTTTCTCGATGCGGTCGGGGGCGAAGTGGCGGCCGCAGACCGTGCAGGCGGCGCCCGAGGTCGCGCCCGACAGCGCCGGCGCCGCCGCGCCGCGCCGCGCTGAGCTCGCCGCCGCCCCGCCTACACTGCCTGAACTCTGCAATGTACGGAAGAAAATTGATTGAAGCTATTGAAGGGCACACCTAAAGTACGTGTTTAATTAGTGTTTGTAGTCATATATAAACACTTTTTCTTGAGAAGACCTAGGAGGTTGTTTTATTGAAGATGGCTTTTTGAAGGGACGTACTAGATTCACTCAAGACATGAGTACATAATCAAAATGCAACTAGTGATTTATTCCATTGATCATCCACTCCATTATTCATGCATTCATTCATTGGTGTTTTGATTTATTTTTGTTTTTAATTTATTTTAATGTGATGTTCATTTATGTACTTTTTGTAACTGTTTGATTCTTTTTATTTTTTTGTGTTGTAATTGGTGAAAACTGTGCTAACATACCGTGCCTAAACGTTTAATAATAAAAAGTAACGCTAAAGATAAAGATAACAGGATTCTAGCTAACTTAGTCATGGTAGGAACCATGTCAGTGTAAAGACAAAGGTTTTAGTAAACAAAAACACCTACCAGTGGTTGTCTTCTGGTCACTACCTGGAAATAAATGAAAATAAAACAAAATCAACAAAAACTCTGCAAAAAATGTGCTGTGCATGAAAAACTGTGAAGAAAAAATTGTGAATAGAATTGAGGGGCACTTATTTACTTTTGTTCACGTGGAAAACATGCGCATAGTTAATTTCCCTTAATAGATGGCGCTACTAAACAAACTAAAATTCGCTGTCAGATTTGATAAATGTCACACGTTGTAGTGTAGGCAGATCGTTGGTGAAAAGAAAAGTGCGTTAAATAATATGTTAGCGACATTTAGGGCATGTAGGGATTTATTAAATGGTTGGCTCACCGGGTTAACAGTTCGCTGCATGGCCCCACGGGCCTTGTTGCTCTCCGGTACCTGAACACATCACACAGACAAGTTTGGTATTGGGAAGCGGCTCGTCGGACAGCTAACATTTAAACAATTTAAACACCAAAATTTATTTTTACTAACAAAAATTTACTGGGTCATATTGACAAACAAAATTTTGTAGACTGACGAAAAGTCAATAAATTCGAATTTAGAATGACGTCTATTCTTTTCAAATGTCAAATCATTGTTTTTTTTAAAACTGCCAGAACAGATAGGTTTACTTTTTCTCATTTCACCTCTTTGGTCAATAAAAAAAAAAATTAAATAGCTTTCAATATTACAATACGCGTAAGGCAAACAGAGATCCTTGTTACACGGAACTCCGAAAACAAGAAAGCATCTTTTTGCTATAAAAAGACGGAGATCACATACAGCATTATCACTTGTAGTCCTTCGGGCTGGTGCTGCAGCTGGTGGTGACGGTTGAGGTTTCGTTTTAGCTGGACTGCTTCTTTGAGCGGGAGTTCTAAAACGTAAACGACAAAAAATCGTGAAAATGGTGAAGGTCGTGTTGAATTTAAATATTTCATGAGACTGGCAAGATAATTAGTTGGCGTCGGCTCGACGGCACAACCACGAGCTGTCGAGCGGTCCCTGAAGCGTCGGGTTCGTACCTCAGAATAATTGGTTTTTGATTATAGAAATTCTTAGTAATCGGCTTGGAGATTGGACTGTACCTTGGCCACAGAATAAAAACAACCTGGTATTGTTTTGGGTGGGCCCCACATGATACAACTTAACAAATATAAAGTGAGTCAAATATTTAATTACAACTATTCAGAAAGAATAAAAGGCATGATTATGGAGACAGATTTTTGTTAGTTAAATTACCTTCTAGGTGGAGGTTTCTTGGTAACAGCGGGTGGGTCAGGTGATCTTGGTGTGGGTGTTGGCGCGAGTGCTTCTGGAAACGTTTCGTTCTCCAAAAGGTAATTGTTGTCAGCTTTGTCGAGCTCGTCTGTGTTCGGGAGTATCACCTCACCGTTACTTTGTGGCAGCTAAAAATTTTGAAAATGGTGGGAAAAATTAGACATGATTTAAACAAACTCCAGAATATGTGTGGGAGAGCCATGCTTCGGCACGAATGGGCCGGCTCGACCGGAGTGATACCACGGCCTCACAGAAAACCGACGTGAAGCAACGCTTGCGTTGTGTTTCGTCGTGTGAGTGAGGTTACCGGAGGCCCAATTACGCTCCCCTTCCCCAATCTCCCCAATTCCCGAATCGTCAACGATCCTCAAACTTCTAATCCCCAAAAGGCCGGTAACGCACTTGTAACGCCTCTGGTGTGCCAGATGTCCATGGGCGACGCCGATTGCTTACCATCAGGTGATCCGTCTGCTCGTTTACCGGCTTATGCCATAAAAAAATAATGTTGGAGAGCAGTTTTATCGCTTAATTCTTTTTTGAGAAATTTTTAAATTGAAATAACTAGATACTTACAATATGTTTGACGGAGTTCATGTCCGGTTCATGGTTATGGTTGAGATCACCGGAGCCATTGACTATGTTTTCTGTTTTCTGAAAATAAATGATATCACAGTGTTATTAAAACACAGTGTTATTAAACAAGGGTGTCTAGAAAATACAAGATAATTTTATGATCGCTGTACAGCGATCATGAAATTGGATTGGGATTGAACCATCGGTGAATCGAAATATCCAAAGCAGTTTCCTAAACATCAAGACGTGTATTAGGTATGACGAAATTCAAACATGGTTAAAGAAGGAATACTGCTGAAACACGAGGCAACAAGGGAATTACCCCTTGTATGTTGTCATTGACCCAGTAACTCGTTGAGTACCGTCATTATAGACACAATTAAAGAACAATAGGTTGCGGTCACCGGTGACCGCGTGGTGTTTGACAGTTTAGTGCGATAATGAGATAGAACATAAAACATCATATCATCATCATCATCATCATCATCAGCTGGGAGACGTCCACTGCTGAATAAAGGCCTCCTCGTTAGTCCTCCATGTCTAACGACAACTCGCCTTCTGCATCCATTGGCTCTCCGCGACTCTGACGATGTCGTCGGTCCAACTTGTGAGAGGACATCATTATAATTAAGAAAATAATTACTTTATTCTATTCTAAAGTTAAAATGATTCTATTATCTGTGGTTTGGTTTGCTGGCTTTGGTTCGGCCTTTGCCGATTGGCAAAACGATCTGCAAAAGATCGTTCTGAAGATTCTTAAAGTCTAGACTAAAAAAGTTACTTACATGCACCTGTTGCCGTTTCACGCTGTGTGAGTTGATAGTATGTGTCTTGTGGACTTTCCTCTCGACAGTGACCTTCGAGGTGGCCACCTTGTTGTATCCATTGGGCAGTGGTTTCCTGGCTGCCGGCCTGTCTGTGTTGTGTATAGGCTGTAGAGGATAACTCTTGTCGATACCAGCTTTCGTTCTGCGTTCCTCAAACATCTGTCGTACCTGGTGTCAAATAAGACCATATTAAATGAAAAAAAGGGGTAATTTCACCTGTTTGCGTCCATGCTACGGAACGCTACCTTTTGAAAATAAGAAAACTACCACCATATTACTACCAATATAACTACGAATAGTTGATTTGTAAAATGGACGTGATCTGGTGAGTGGACGCGAACAGGTGAACTTTGGTGGGTGGACAAGAACAGGCGATTACCCCGATATAATGTCTATGCACTAAACTTTCGGGTAGTTGCCCAAGAACAGAACAATTGTACATTTAAAAATAAGACAGTGAATTTGAATACATTAACTAACGACAAAGTAAAACATAACATAAAACAACATAACATCACGCCTTTTATCCCCGAAGAGGTAGGTAGAGGTGCACATCAATTGGATCAATCAACATTCTTACAAAAATAATTTACATATAGGTATTATTACTCCTGTCATTACGTCCCCTTACAATTTGTCAAGTAATTTCTTTACCACAGCAATATTATAATGTTATACTCCACTTATTGAATATTAAATCGAGCCAAAGTATAAACATTGGTGAGAACGGCAATGAGTCCTACACCTGTTTCTTTAATGGACGTATTTTTCTATATAAATGCCCGCGTCACTTTCCCGACGACCCGACTCATGGTGTCAAATGACGCACTTTGTCAGACAAACATGTTTCGGTTTACTTTCATAGCAAATTTTATGTATTTTTCTTTGAAGACTAACACGCACATTTACCAATTGCCTAATAAGGCCTCATTTATTAGGATAGAGGGAGATCCAGCACATCAAGAGCGTTTACACATTATGGTTATAATTAAGCTTACGCTAGTGTCGGTCATCATTGTCCAACACGGCATTCAATGTGTTGATACAATTACAAACTTACAATAAGTCATTTCCTCAAATCAATCATCTAATTGATTCTTTAGATCATGGATATTCATACGCAATTATCAAGTTCAAAATAGTTACCTCTTTTTGTCTCTCTATGACAATAAGACATTCAATACATTTATTTAATTCTATCATATTGTCGCGGAGAAACTAACGGGTTACCGGGGCTCCAGCTCGACGTGCAGCAGAAGGAACGGGGTGGTTTTTAGTCAGTAAGAGTCTGACACTCCCTCCCGCCTCACCCAGGCGGAAGCAGTCATTCAAAGATTTTCCCCCCTTCAAAAAAATCTATCATATTGTAAACTTGCTAGGTTAATCCTACCTTTCCTGGTTGATGTGTAGCTGGTGGCAGTGGCGGTGAGGTGTGCCCCACGTTACTGGGCGAGTGTCGTACCCTGTCCAGAGCCCTCGCCTGCTGCGCCTCGTATAAAGACGCTATCTTCATCTCCCTCTCCTGCATTTGTTTCTGTTGAAACCGAGCCTGAGGGACAAGCAAATTACTTTCATTCGTTTAAAAAGAAAAATAAGGTCGCGCATGACTGAATCGTAAAATAGTTTAATGTTAAATTAAATAAACTGTATTAATAATGAATACGTTAGTTCATGTCACATTGGAATTTCCACTACAAATCCTGAATGACCCGAAGAAGGTGACAGACAGGGGGCACCTAGTAAAATAGAAAATATGCTTAAACGTAAAAATCGTTTAATTAATAAAGTTGATTTAGCACTACAAACAAAATGAGAGCCCTGAACAAATGTTTCGCTATAACAAAGAAAGATCTCAAAGACAAATTTTTGTCTTTCTATTCCCAACAAAATGAGTGCAATTTCAATAGCACGAATATGCTTCAATGTAGTTAGTCATCATTTCAGTTAACTCGTCGAGTACCGGTTTTGTAGACACAATTATAGAACAATAGGTTGCGGTCACCGGTGATCGCTTGGTGTTTGACAGTTTAAATTGCCAACATTGCCATGACATAAACAATTCCTAGATAGTGTTCCACCTGTGAATACTGCAAATCTGTATAATTCCAAAACGGTGTATTTGAATGACATTCACGTCTTGGATAGGATTACTCATCGCTAGGTTCTCACAGTATCGCGATAGTTACGGAGCGCCGGAGTGGGGGCGTGAGGTCGGCGCCTACGCATCACTGCGCGCAACCTGCCGGCTGTCGACTGTCAATCGACGTTACAATAATGACATTACTTGCGAGAACCCACTTCCGTAATACGGTAGACATTTTGTTTAAGGAAGTTTTTGAGACTTTAATTGTATTACTTTGTTAACCTAAGCCTTTGTGTATTATTCCAGTTCTAAGTCTACTTTTTACTAGAGTGATAATCTAGCTACCTAATTAAATGAACTTTAAATAACAATTATGTACTGTTTCATTTGCGCACATATCTTTTAAAATCGAATCATTGTTACATCTTACATTACTCTTGAAGAAGAGTATCTATCATCACCCCATACGATACAGACACACCAACAAAGCCCAAGAGTTAGTTACTAAAGAGATACTAATTAAAATAATAATAAAGTCCTATTTTTACTGACTTGACACACATTCTCTTTGTCTTATGATCAAGAACGTCCTTACTTCATTATTTACTTATTTTCTATACGCGTCTTTGTTGGTTTATTAATAGTTATGTCAACGAGATGTGTTATTCAGAAGCATAATGTGCTTGTGTGCATTGTCTTCTCTGCATTATCTTTAGGTGCATTACATTCTTCTTGTAACAAGATAAGACAGTGATAGACGTGGATGGGCCATCTTCGGCCTTATTATGTTTCTTTCCGTGTAGATTGGATTTTCTAGCACAGTCATGTTTATTGGAAGTAGTCAATATAAAAATGGATTATCACATCTTTTAAAAACCGATTGATAATTTTATTCAGAATATTGAGTTTTACTATAATTTTGACATTATACAGATTATTTTGGAAAGGACGTACAGTACAATAACGCTGTAATAAAATTGCTTCGAGAATATTTTTGAAGTTGGTTGGTCAAATTACACATTAGACAAAATATCAAATAATCACAAAAAGTAGGTTCATAGACGTAAATTAACCTTAATTATACACAATGAGATCCTAGCACGAAAGCATTACATACGTTCATATTTTATCCTAATGAGTGTAATATTGTCCAATGGCTGTTTCAAAAAAAGTTATCCATGTTGTTTCGACCCAATATTATAGGAGCAATTCTCTTACTATTTAAAGGACTGAGCAAGTTTCATCGGATTTCATTTGTAGATTATCGTAATTAAGTCAGTTGAGGCTTTCAATTCTTTTAATGATGGAAGGTTGACGACTTCAATTTTTCATAGATTCAGTTCAAAGTCAAAGTCAAAATAACATTTCTAATTGAAAAAAACATTTCAATTAACTCGTTGAGTACCGTCATTATAGACAATTAAAGAACAATAGGTTGCGGTCACCGGTGTCCTCGCGGTGTTTGACAGTTTAAACCAGGAAGGCATTTTTGAACGTCAACAACAAAAATTTTGAAGTGAAGCTAGTTGCTCATTCCAACGTGTAGATTCCTATGGAGAAGAACGAGCAAGAAACTCCAAAGGTTACTCTTTTATTTTATTTTATGTGAGAAAAATGCAACACCTAAATGCAGTTAAAGAGATTGAAAAAGAAGTTGGGAGGACGAAGAAGGACATCGGCTAATTATGATATAAATTAAATAGGTAACGCCAGTAACGCAGTAATACTATTATGCGACGGTAACTACACCCTGTTATAGCGTAGGCAAGGCAAATTGTACGCTAAGTATAAGTACTGCATAGTAATGACTGGCCAGGTCATTAGACAGGCCTTAGATTAGCTAATCAGCTGCTAACTGATTGGCTGGCTATGTACCAGTGCTAGTAGCCGGCACAGTTGCATTGATTAGGTATTTAGGTATGTCAGGGTTTTATGTGGATGCTGTTGTGTCTCTTCGTGAGATTCTTTTCCACTTATTCATGTTCGAACTTGCACTAAAGGAAGATTACCTATAAGTAAGTTTGACTAGTAGTAAGACGACTATTTGAGAAAAGGAAAGGGAAAATTAATTAGGAAAGTATGTAATAAGAGTGTTTTGACCTCCACTAGCATTTTCCCCAAGACAAGCAATCAGACTATCAATAAATCTTTTATAAGTTACGTTACGTTTACAAAAACCGACTCCAATTGAAGTCGGTTAATTATATTATACCAAAACCTTCTCTTAAGTGTAAGACGAACTTTTCTGAAAAAAAAAAAACACACATACAGGTCAAAATGAGAACTTCCTTTCTTATTTGAAGTCTGTTAAAAATAATTTGGTACTTAACGCATCAATTGCCGCATAAGTTCTTGAAGGCAAATACACCGTTACTGCCGATTAAGGTATTAATAGAAAGGTAAGTTCTTCAGCACCCACTATCTAACTTAACTTCCCTACATTGAAACGCTACGATAAGCAGTAAGGAAGAACAAATATTAAAATAAGTTCCTAGATATAGCAGCGAGAAAGTCACCGCCATTAAAATGCGCGAATGGTGCCGCATTCGCCAATGTGTACGCAACATTATGGGTACGTAATGTGCATGCACGAATAATGCACGATGCACGTTTACCGTGTAATGTTTGTGTGTATGCATGCATCGTGAATATTCCGTGCGATCGTGACCGATATTGTGTATGGCTGTACTTTTTACGACTTCGGCTTGGCAATATTTTGGTTTGAATTGCTCGGTGTTCTGGGTTTTAAGAGGATTTGGAATGCTTTACTTCTTGTAACGTTTTTGTTTGATTCAGATAGATGTATCTTCTAAGTTTTGTGACTGTAGAGCAGAATACACTTATTGTCATCACTCCTACTCCTTCTATGGATGTCGTAAGAACCGATTAAGAGCCACAGTTTACTGAGACAGGAAGCGGCGTTTCTAAAATGGCGGGTGCTGAGTGTGCCCAGATTTTTGCTGAGTTGGTGACCCATTCGGATTGGGCATGTCCGCAAACACCACGTAGTATGTTGCATCTGTCATTATCAGCTTGTTTTAGTTCTATAATTTAGCTTATTATCTTTTGTTTTTAAACTCTTTCTCTCTCTCTCTGTTATTAAACCGTTTTATTGTTATTTGTTATATTGTACCTATATGTTTTTTGTTCCTGGCGTGCATAGCTTATGCCGGATAAACATAATTCATTCATTCATTCATAATAATTAAGCCATCACAATCCACAATTTGTGATTCCACTTCGCTACCGAGGACTTCGAAATAGAAAAAGTATTTTTGCTACAAGTGGATCGAACTAATTCAGCAGTCATGTTTGCGAGTAGGTACTAAACCGATAATCCCAATTAAGTTAGTAGCAAGTAATAAAGGGAGATTACGGTATCGATAATGTCGTGGTTAAATAGAGCTCACAACTTCAATAATGGGCAATCTACAGAAAATTCTATAAGGTGTTTCATATTGATAAAGTCTTTATTGAAGACAAGATGGTTAGACAAATCATCGCTATTCTATTTAGAGTAACATCAACTTCAAAACAGCCCTTGACAGCTCACAGCTGGATTACGAACAGCTAGGTTAATCTGGAACTGTCTATTCGAACTTTCGAGGAGGGCTCGATCGCATTCTCGCCCGTCTTTGGTCGAGATTATTTTCACAACTAATGGCGAACTAACATGGCGGACCGCGATCAAGTTCACTTCTATCTTTCGAATAGGGTAGTTTCTTAAATTTTATTTTAATGTCCGTCTCCTAGATTAATATTTTAAAACATTAGACACGTAATTCTTCTTTTCTCATAAAATTCAATATTTTCGACGATATATTAATTTGAAATATCGTGTGACGTCACACTCCTAAACTTAAATCCATTTTGTCTAAGTATTGTAACTTTATATGAGAAAATTAAAAAATGCATGTCCAATATTTTTCATTATCTAACCGACGGAATTATTAGATTTTTATTTTCATACCCTGGAAACTACCCTACTGAAAGTTACAGAAAAGCCTTTTTTTTAAGGGAAATCATCGAATGACTGCTCCCGCCTGGGTGAGGCGGGAGGGAGTGCCAGACTCTTACTGACTAAAAACCACCCCGTTCCTTCTCCTACAAGTCGAGCCGGAGCCCCGGTTACCCTTTAGGTTCTCCGCGACTCCTAATCGGCATCAGCCCTATTGGGCCCCATCTGTGGTGGTCTGATGGCTCTTTGAGGCGCGCGCGGAACGCGACGCGCCGTACGCTCGAGATGCCTCTACATAAGGATTATGCCCTAATCTTTACGCTTGGCATCCCAGCTGCCTAGTTTCTATCAAATATGTAGTCCTAGTCGGCTGTTACGACATCCGTGGGAATCTAGAAGAAGAATAAGGAAGTCGAGCGACACCACACGTCAACAATAAGTCACACATAAACACTACGACCTTGTAAGAATTAAAAGTGAAAGGAAAAACAATATTAGGTGTATTATA